GCAAAAGTATTAATCGGTTAATTACAGGTTACTGAAAAAAATATTCGTACGAGAAGAAACATCACTTACTATACCAACAATATGCATCATAAATTTGTAAAGGTAGGGTAAAGCTATCCCTGTAACAGGCCCTGGAGGCCCATAGGGTTGTGAGATGTTGGGGTGCCCACATTTTCTAGACAATCAGCTCACAGATGGCGGTAAGTTTTTCAGCCTCACGCGCCGGCCGCCATTTACATCCCAGGAAGATTCCTGGTACTCATTTCTGTTAGAGGCTGAGTCGACTCCAGGACCATAGTGCGGTTGGAAGGATTAGGTCAACTGACAAAAAATCCACCTCATCGGGACTCGAACCCGCCACCTTCCGGTTTGTAGCATAGTGCCTCAACCAACTACGTCACCGCGTGCTAGTAGGAAATCTGTAGCTAATGAGTATGCCGAAGCTGGTACCAAAATACGTCAATCTTCTGTTTCAGAGACAGCAAAATTTCTCCTACTTTTAAGTACTTTCACGAAGTGCACAAAACGAACGCGCCCGACAACATCCGCATCTTTATCTCCGAAACTCCTGATTGGACTTCCGCAATATTTGTACAAGAGGTGAAGCTATTCTTGGGTTTAATTAACTGTGCACCTTGTCATGGAAACGTATAGGGGAGGGGAGATATAACGCCACCATTTTTAACCTTGGCCCTAGATGGAAGTTAATGCTGAGCTTCGCGTCCCTGCTGCTTTAACCCGGCGAAACAACCCAAAGTACTCATTGTACAGGAGGTTGAGTGAGCGCCAAAGCCGGTCTAGATGTCATGGAGAAGAAAACTTTCCCCTACCGGGAATCGAACCATGTCTCCTCGATCGCCCAGCCCAAATAATATTTTGTATTATTGAGAAAGTTTAATTTTAGTTACTGTAGTCTAGTTCGTACTTTTACATAAACCGCACATCAAGCTCCGTCCGCTTTCTCAGACGCGACTCGCTAAAGGAAAACAATTAGCATGGCCTACACAACGTAAAAAGGTTAATTTTGTTGCGTTCTACAATTTTTATGAGAAATATTTGTCGAAAGACACGAATAGGCCCTACTTAATAAAATACAAGGATAATTCATTTTTGGTTCCTAGATTTGACAGCTTCGCTGCCAATATGAGCATTCTTCATGTGCCAGTGAACAGAGCGTCTATCTACGGCCCTGAAATTCCCGTGAGTTTCCTCAGAATTGCCAATATGTGCATTCTTCATATGCCAGTGAACAGAGCCTCCATCTAGGGCTCTGAGATTCTCGTGATTTTCCTCAGAATTGCCAATATGAGCATTCTTCATGTGCCAGTGAACAGAGCGTCTATCTACGGCCCTGAAATTCCCGTGAGTTTCCTCAGAATTGCCAATATGTGCATTCTTCATATGCCAGTGAACAGAGCCTCCATCTAGGGCTCTGAGATTCTCGTGATTTTCCTCAGAATTGCCAATATGAGCATTCTTCATGTGCCAGTGAACAGAGCGTCTATCTATGGCCCTGAAATTCCCGTGAGTTTCCTCAGAATTGCCAATATGTGCATTCTTCATATGCTAGTGAACAGAGCCTCCTTCTAAGCCCCTGAGATTCTCGTGATTTTCCTCAGAATTGCCAATATAAACATTCTTCATATGCCAGTGAACAGAGCCTCCATCTAAGCCCTGAGCTGCGACTACAGCTTCAGCATACAAAAATCACTCCGTGGTTTTAGTCCGCAAGCGAACTATACCAACCGAGTGACCGCCGCTTGTCGGCGAATTTAGTGCCAACTTTATCGGATAGAGGATGTCACGTGGTCAGCGCAACGAATCCCCACGGCGGTTAATTTCTGTTTTCTAGACCGGAGCCACTATTTCCTTGAAACAGCTCCTCAATTATCCTCACGAGGCTGAGTGGCCCCGTTCCAGACCCACTACTTCTCAGAACTTCTGGTAGCGCCGGGAATCGAACCCGGGAGCTCTGGATCTGTAGCCAGGAACTCTGACCACTAGACTACCGCTTAACGAAATACAAACGAATATAATTTTTAGCTCTAGGATATACAGGATAATGTGTTAAACAGTGAAACATATAAAGCTGCAATAAGTGAACACAAAAGCGGAGGTTATACATACATACACACATACACACATACACAGCTCTAAACAAACCCGCGCTCTGCTCAGCTCAGCTTGAAGAAAGTGTCCGGCAGCCCTTCCACTCATGTTTACGGGGGAGAGGGAAGAGGAAAGACTGTATGGAAAGCAATTCAAGCTTCCTCACAGAAAGGAAGGAGAGACAGAGAGAGAGAGAGAATATTTTGCTGTTTTCAGTTACATAACACAGAGAGATGCGAAACGACGGAAAATATTTATTTTAAAAATTCAGGAAAGTTGGGACTTAGATGAAAGCAGGAATTGGAGCAGAACAATATAAGAAAATCAGAATATTTTTAAGTCATAATCTTTTTCACGTTCTTCACCCGGAAACAAATCGGCATAGAAGCAACCATTATAACTGATTAGTTGATGATAGATGCACGGAACTAATTATAATTGAATGAAACTCGCTTGACGTTTTGCTGTGTCACAGTTCAGCTGAGGTGGCCTCAAGGAGAGCACTGCGGCCCTACACCTACGAGCAGTCACGGTTGAACTCGAACGAGAAACAAGTTTCCTGACGGCGAGAATTCGCACACAACACACAACACCTAATCTTACAGTCCTTGTTCAAGGGTTTACGAAATGGGCTACTTTAGTTGCGCCCCAACTCTTTGCGTTTTAAACCGAAATCCCGCGCGCTCACTTCAAAGTATGGGCACGTATACACGTCTGGTCGACATCGGCTATTGAATCCTGTCTAATTCACTTCATCACAGGCAGTTTCTTTATAATCATTTTATTTGCGAGTACGTGGGGTACACTATGCTACAAGCCGGAAGGTGGTGGGCTCGAGTCCCGATGAGGTTACTGGATTTTTCAATTGACCTGATCCTTCCAGCCGCACTATTGGCCATGGGTTCGACTCAGCCTCTAACAGAAATAAGTACCAGGAATCTTCCTGGGGGGTAAATGGCGTCCGGCGCTTAAGGTTCACAACCTCACCGCCATCTGTGAGCCGGCTGGCTAAAGAAATTGTGGGAGCCTCGACGTCTCACAACCCTATGTGCCTCCACGGCCTGTTACAGGGATAGCGTTATACATGCCGACTTAGAGAGGAAGTCAGATGGAAGGTTCTGAACAGAATTCATTAAGCCTATTTGCATTCTGCATAAACTTCAGTTCTATAAACCTAGTGTTGTGAATTCAAGCGATGGAAGTTCAAGACGAGCCAACAATAAAAATGTTAGTCATGTTAGTGCACTGAGCTCGTTTATCGTATAAATCTTATCCAATTCGATTAATAATTTTCTCATTCCTACCGATAATTCATTCAATAAAACATTCCTTCTGATAAACAATTGTTCATCAACAAAACCTACAGAAGTTCTCTTTAAATTTGTCCGACATAACCACAGCAGTTCCCATAGTAGCCATATTTTTAATTGCTGAATTACAAGTAATATTTCATACATAATCTGTAGGGTTCGTAGCTCCAACCGTTCATTAGTTACAGCTTTTAGAGTGAAATATAAATGAAAATTTCGTACGGATTACTAGACACACGTCGCCTGAATAAAAATTCCATATATTTCGAAAATCTCTTACATCATTTCAGTGCCCTATGTAGAGCGCTAGTGTAGCGTTCATGCACAAATTCGTCGTCTGCTTGCATTTGTTGCTTACTGTAGAGTCGGGCCGCGCCATAGCTCAAGCGGTTAGTCGCTGGCTTCCCACAGCGGCGGCCCGGGTTCGATCCAAGGTCTGGTCATTGGATTTGTGGTGGACAAAGTGGCCCTGGGGCGGGTTTTCTCCCCTGCCAATCGTCTCCCCTGCCCAACTTAATTCTACCAATTGCTCTACAATCACCCTCACCTATCATTTGGGGCTGGTACAATACGCCAGAAGTGGCAGCAGTGCAAGGGACTTAGTCCCACCCCACTAGCAATAAAAAAAATAAGTACTTATGGAGCTGAGCACTTCTTGAGGAGAAGCCAAATCTGCAGCTACTCAAGATTTTCCCAGCATTTTATGGAACCCGAACGTTCATTACCGTGTTCACAAGAGCCCTCCACTGGTCCATATCCTGAGCCAGATCAATCCAATCCATACATCCCATCCTATCTCTCTAAGATNCAAAAAAAAAAAAAAAAAAAAAAAATCAGGGTAGGCCAATGGCACAACGTTCGTACATTCCGCAAAAATCAATTACCTCACTGAAAAATAAATAGATCACACTCAACGATATGTAATCTTAGTAACTGAAGGAACCCCATTAAATAACATAAATTATCAAGCTGGACTTCGTAACAATAGCAGACATTACGGAACAAAGTTCAAAGTGATCTCTATCCCTCCCCGGCGAAATTGGGTTTAAACATCGCGTACGAAGGAGATGAGGTACAACGGCCCCAAAAGTTCAAAATTTCGATCCGGGAAACTGGGTCACGCTCGCGATACAATTTCGGTATGAAACAAATCAAATCCGTGTCGATCTCCACTGCAGGAGACTGTTTTGTCGACCTCTTTGTGTTGGTGGTGTTCATATGTTGGCTATACTGGTCACTATGGGCGGTGGAGAGTATGAGTCGGTGAGGGAATACAAAAAAGGAAGCAAATAGGTTTACGTGCAAGTCAAGGCCAACAGAAGTTGAGTACACAACCACGAGACGTATGTCTCTCGAGCACTGTGCTACTCGCGGGGGGGAAAGACAGGGGGAGTGTTGTGGATGGGAACACCACGCCCCTCTCTCCTTTATACCCTCCCCTCTTTTTAGTCAGGGCAAAGTCCTTCCCCTTCTCATAGGCTCAGACTTCTTTGACGTCACATTCACACTTCGGCAAAGTTCGTAGCTGTCGATCGGGCCTACTCGGGAGAACATTTGCAGCAGGGCCAGAGAGCTGTACAGCTCGGCAGTTGTAGTGCGTGCCGCAGCTCGGCAGATTGTCAGCAGGTGAAAAAACAAGTGTCAGTTTGTGTGCGATGAATTCGCCGCAGTGACAATGAGTTCGAGCCTCGGAGTGCGACAATGGTTCCCGGAGGGCGACCTAGCACGCCACGCCCGCGAGTTCGGCATCGCGTTTGTGGACGACGAGGTTGAAGATGGTGTGCTTAAAACAGAGTGTGTTTCACCGCCACCGACCACCCTGCCTCCGGTCCCACCCCTCATCCCTTTGTCGACCATGCAGCCATTGGCTAGTGATGATAGTGAGGAGCCCGGAGCATATGGCGGGGTGTTTATGGTTAACAGTGAGAGTCCAGTGTTTAGTGACAGTGCAGTGGTAAACATGTGCGGGGAGAGAGGGTGCTGTGCGGGAGACGCATCGCGGTGTTCCGTCGTGCTTGACCCGTTGCCCTCGGATTTGCTTCGGTCCCTTACGGAGGACGGGCGCATTAGTGCCGAAAAAGCGGCCCGCGAGCAGTGCAGCAGTGGCGAGTGTGTTGTGCCCACGCAGGATCGGATCGATTGTGCCGAGGAGTCACGTGACTCGCGGCGAGGCGCACGGCATCGCAAGCGGCGGCGGGAGAGTAGCGGAGGGGGGAAGGGAAAGCGGCGGAAGAGATCGACATCGTGCTCCACGACGTCTTCAATGGGCTCCACGGCTTCCAGGCCTCACCATCATCATAAACATCACAAGCACCGGCGTCGACGGAGCAAAACAGCTGACGAGGGTTCGCCGCCCCCAGCACCCAGTGTCAACCCCATCTTCGTGTGGGTAAAGCAGGATGACACCAGAATAGTTGAAGTGCTGTGTGAGGACTACGACAAGAGAAACCGAATCAGGCTCACCAAGACACCCTATGGCTGGCGAGCGATTCCACGAACTGAGCGACTCGCTTCAGTCTCGCAGGCTGCACCTAGTAGTACTAGCAGCTGCTCCGCGGAGGCGCCACTAGACAGGGAACAGTGCGACAATTCGCCCACAGATGGTGGCATCGACAATTATGTCACAACACTAGTCACTGAGAATGTTGATCATCCTGCACCGGTGGCGGGAGATGAAAACTCTACAGACCAAATTACCAAAGAACATGATGAGAGAGAGGGAGAGGTAGAAGTAGAGAAAGGTTTCGGTGAGGGCGAAGGTGAAGGTGAAGAAAATGAATCGGAAGAACAAGAAATAGAGGAATGTAGGGAAACTGAAATGACTAGTGAAGAAACTTGTGATAACACTACATGTGAACGACAGAACTGTACTGACACAGAAGTGGAAGAGATTGAGCCCACCGATCTCAGCATCCCCAAAACCAGCTCAGACATGGACAGTATTCCCGTGAAAACAATTGTTCCCATTTTACCAGCTGCACCAAATCCTCAGCCCACGCCAATGGAAACTTCACCCACGCCAGCCCACCAGCCAAAACCTCAGCACAAGTCCATGTTCCTCGAATCTCTGTTGTCCTCTCCCAAGAAGTGTTACCAGCCGCCAATGCAGACCCCTGAAGAACCACAACCTCTGAACCTCGGTGTATCCTTGTCTCGATGCTCGAGCAGTCCCACCGTCAGCGTTTCCGAGGAGAAGATACTCACAACACCCGACTCGAAAGTCAAAACAAAATGTCTCAAAGTTGAGGATATAACCCTGAAGAATCTCCTCAGCAGGCAGTCGAGTAAGGTCGTCGAAAGGACTTCAACGACGCCAGAAGTCACTGTGGAGACAACCAAGGCCCAAAAGTCTCGACTACTGGAACTGCTGACGTCAGAACCATTATCTCTGGATCAGGAAGTGGATGATCCCCTCACGCAACTCAAGAAGGTCCTCGCAGACCCTGAACTGTCCGTCCCTGATCCAATGCTAGTCCCACGGGACCGACTGCGCAGACTCGTTGTCAGTCCAGCAAAGGAGATTCCTCGTCTCTTGTCTTCGAGGCCAGAACTGAGGTTTCCAGAGGCTTTGACCTACCCTACTCTTGTGCAAGACCCCGATATACTTGTAGTGTCGCTTGCCCATTTCCAGAGGCTGTTGCAGAACTGGACGGAAGAGGATGCAGCTGCGTGCATGAGCCTCCGCGACTACCAGATGTACAAGCAGCAGCAAGAAGCTGTAGCAGCCGCCGCCTCGGAATTCAAGCAGCAGCAAGACAATGGAGAACTGGCCGCAGCTCTCAACCAGATGTTCTGGCTCCCGTACCTGACTCAGCTCGAAGCTGCGGCTATGACGTGTGGAAACACCCAGGAGTTCCTAACGATGCTGAATGCAGTGTTTCCGCCCTCCAACTACCCTCAGGTTCAGGCAAGAACTCAACACCAGTACCCATTCTTGGTGCCCTTCACCTTGCCGTCTACAGACTACAAGACTCAGCTGGAATTCCAGCAGGCAGTAACCGCGTGGCACGAAACCATGATGCAGGCAGCTGTGTCAGCCGCCCCAGTGAGCAACAACAACAACAACAACAACAACAACAACAACTTGTCGCCGGGAAAGAACAGCTACAACAAGAACCATCACCAGCAACCTATCAATGGACGGTTTCCACACGTGGCGAAGAAAGTCAACTCGTCTTCAGCCCGAACTAGCCCAATTTCTCCAAGTTTCCAGTCACGCGCCCTAAACACCACTCACGAGTACCTGGCAGCCAATGGCTACACAAACAATCAGCACCACCACCACCACCACCAGTACAATCACCACAGGTCCCATCACCATCATAATCATCAGCAGCAGCAACAACCTGCTCGAAGTAACTCAGGGACGCCGAAAGTACCCAAAAGTGAAACACAGACACCAACAGACAATGACAAAGGACCTAAAGTAACTTGTAACTCTCTTATACATCTCCTGTCGAACTCTAAGAAACAGCAGCAAGAAGAACCTGTAAAGATTAAGAGATGTGTATCTCTTACTGCGCAGTCTCAACACAGCCACTTGCTGGCAGCCCTGGGTAACCCCCCCAATAACATGCCGCAACTGGTGCCAATACCGCAAGGGGTATCACCACCCACACCCATAGATCTGTCGGGTCGTCGCCAAGGTGACAAGATGGAAGTGACAACTGGCAAGCTGAAGGTCAAGAAGCACCTCGTAGATCCTGCTATCACCCCCCGCCTCCTTAAACAGGAAGTTGAGGCCATCAGTCCCACAGACAAGACATCGCACCCACAACTATGGCACCCCCTGTTCGGGAGGTGAGTACCACCTGCATGCCCTCGAAAAGCTTGGCAAGGTTCCCCTAAGGTTACAAACTGTCTTGCCAACAACAGAAGTTTTGTGACAACTGTCAACAGAGTTACATGGTTTCAATATTACGGTAGTGACTAGTCCGGAAAGAATGCCCTTGTAATAGGTACTCCCGTATTACACGTAACACAAATATACGAAATGTTCTGGAAACATCTGTTAGCTCCAAAGCTAACACGCCTTGTCACAAAAATAGCTTGTTCACAGCCATACAAAATTGTTACCTCCAAATAAAGATGTGTAAAGTTAAGTACTCAGTCTACGCTGAAATGGATGTTTTGTATGTAGGCAAACACTTAAAATTGGGATTATAGTGAATATTTTCAAAATTACACCACCTCACATGTTTACACTCAAAGAGATGGATTGTGAATAATAAGCATGTTAAATATTTACAAAATGCAAGATAAAGCAAAAAAGTAACGCTATCCCTGTACCAGGCCGTGAAGGCCCATAAGGTTGTGAGACGTTGAGGCTCCCACATTATATAGACACTCTGTTCAAAGATGGCGGTAAGGTTGTCTGCCTTACGCGCCGGCCGCGCTTTACTCGCCAGGAAAATTATTTATTTAATTCCTGGCACTCATTTCTGTTAGAGGCTGAGTGAACCCCAGGGCCATAGTGCGGCTAGAAGGATTACATCAATTGAAAAAAAAATCCAATGACCTCATCGGGACTTGAACCCGCGACCTTGGCTTGTAACATAGGCCCTCAACCAATAAAATGCAAGATAGGCATTAAATATTTACAAAATTAAACAAAATAGAAGCAACCTAACATGCCACCATTAAAAGAAACGGCGTGTGGATGAGAAGTATTTTATGTGGTTTTCCTGCACAACGTGTTTACAGAGTTCACTAAAAACAATACACCTCCTCACTTAAACAACAGATACGATTCGCTCGAAAATTATTGATTTAGACATACTGAATCACAGGACCAAGCCGTCCAGAACTATCGACAATAATGTGTTTCCCGAAGCCGAAAAATCAATCCAGTGATTAAGATTTGAGGTTTTCATGGCGGTGACTATGAAGAATGCCGTTTTCTGAACGTGGCGCTGTGTACGTTTTGTGTAAAACGACGTTTCGGAAGAACGTATCGCCTCTATCTTCAGGGTGGAAAAGTCCGCGAGCCAGGAACAAGCAGACTGCAGTCACCTGGTCACGCTGGTTGATACGTTCCTCCAAAACGTCGGCTTACACAATATCTATATGGCGCCACATACCAGAAGACGGACTTCTTCTTAATCCAATGACTTCCTATACCAGCCTTGAAGCAAGCCCAAGCAGAAATGTGTAAGATGTTTGTGTATAGATGCTGCCACTGCTTTGTATTACTGAAGCCACCATAACAGGCTGACAATTAATTCTTGCCAATATTTTCAAAAGGGATTTTTTTTTTGTTATGTACTAATCGGGCCTGCTTGTGTTCGTCCAGTCTTCATGCTTGCCTAATCAACTTGTATACACTTCCTGTCTTGTATGACGTTGAGAGAGATGTGACGTTTCTGTTGAGAATATTTATCGTTTAATTTATTTGTATTCGTTTTATTTTCCGTTTAATATTTTGAGCTTATTTTCATTTGTATTTACGTAGCTTTTACCTCCTCTGCTGCTTTGTCTGTAGCGAGTCTCCGAGTCCCTATTCCCGTCTAACTTCATAGCTCATCTTGAACGTTGAAGCTGCTTGTTTACACAAAATTTATTTCGAATTGCAATAAAAATATATAAATATATATCACAACAGGGTATATAAGCAGATCAGCTGAAGTAATTAAGATGTCAAATTCATGACAGAGGAACAGAAGACAAACTAGTTTAGCGTTCAAGGATGTGGGGTACCCACTTTCGTATCTGTACAGTGTCCAGAGCTGGTGCAGACAGGCAGGCACGCAATCCCATCTCTTCAGCACGCGATTTTATTCAATTACTGTGAGAGAAGCTCTCTTTCTCAAGACAGCTTGCCCTCTACTGCTGCTCCTTGTAACAAGGACAGTGTATGGTATTTATATCGAAGCCCGAAACCTCTCCCAGTCTGGCAACACTGTGTGGTGGCTTCAGATAACACAATGGGGAGGGCCACATTAACTTTTGGTTTCTGTTGTTGCAAGTCAGAAGACGCCCTACACCAGCCCTTGGCAGTGGACGACAGTGATGGTGAACGGGGAGTAAAGTTATCGTGCCTTGTCCACGCCGTCTCACGATCACCTGAGCGGACTGACGTAAGAAGCAGATTCTATCCTCTTGTTAACGTCAACACGATTTAGTTCTGTATTAACATAGTAAGATCGTGACGTTTGTTTTTATCTCAGGAAACTTCTGACGCTGTGATTTTTTAGAATTTAACCGGATCAAGTAAGGCTTCTTGTGTGAACTCTTCACCTGTGTGCCATTCAATTGCCTGTATACTGAGAAACTTCAAGTTTCCGTACCGTAGTTCTACAATAAATTGAACATATCTGACAGCTGTTAACGAAGAGAACATTCCATTCAAACAGACGACAGAAATAGAGTAGCAATGAGAAATGTTCCTTTCCATGTTTGTTGATTCAGTGTGTTTTGAAACGTTGTATCGCTGAATTGTTTACTGAAATCTGTTCTGCATAAGTATTATCACAAGATCCCGGCGAACCTGTATTAAATAGACTGAGATGTAGCATGACTAGTCGTGTATAAGGTGCCAAAATGGCCAGACTGTTGTGTTTTGTTCGTTTTAAACACGTTCGTAACGTAGATATATAGAGATGAAGTTCATGAAAGTTTGGTATATGTGAAAGCACAATAAAAATATAAAATACTTGTTTTATTTTGTTAAGAAAGGACGTAAATGTGTGTGTGTGTGTAGATATTGGAACTAGTCCATAATTTCTGTATTATATTTAAAATACAAGATTGCGCTGTGAGTTCGTAATATTCAATGTAACATTTTTTTTAATTCAATCAGTGCGATAATCGTATAGAGAACGTTACGTGGGTGGGGTCAGCGCGCCTGCGCATATTGGTAAACCACCATGACGCTTCGTAGAGAGAGGCTGCTTGACGTTGGCATGCTGGCTGTAGGGTTGAAAGAAACCACACGGAAGCCTAATACACTGACAAGTACTTCCCCTCCCCCCTTCACATTTGGGTCTAATA